TGGATGGATGGATGGATGGATGGATGGATGGATGGACGGACGGACAGACAGACAGACAGACGGATGGACGGACATAGACACTGTCCAATTATATCTTAGCTTAGAATGCTCTGGGATGAAAGCCCCATGTAGTTAGCTATGAGTCACCGTATATTCCAAACCAAGGAAATGGGCCTTCATTGACCTAACTATGGTTAAGTAAACCATGAGTAAATGTTTTATACAAACCCAACCTATTGAGAAAGCCATAGGTCTTTAATATTGGAGCAAATACCCCACTCTAATTTCTGGACACTTTGGAGAGCTGATTCGGGATGAGACCTTCCATCTCAGTTCATTCTGTCGCAAGTAACCAGGGATGGAGAACTCAGAAAATTGTAGGACTACCAGACTTGGACTTCAAAAATCAGATGATCACTGGAGGGCAGCAAAGAGGCACACAAATCTCTGGTCTTTTGCTGCCCCCTCGTGGTCATCTTGATTTTTGGTTCTAGTAGCTGTAGATAAATGGACAGTAATGCAAAAACGAACCCGCTCTAAACTTTATTCCTCACATTATACAGCTGCCCATCTCACAAACGTGACTTTGGGTGGTGTACAATAAAGAACCACCATAAAAAACAACCATTAAAACATTCCACTATAAAAACACCAACATTCTTTACAAAGACTAAAAGTGAGCGTCTTTGGTGTTACAAACAACGTCGTTTCAGGCGTTCTCCATTTCCCTGAGATCCCCAAGCCTGTTGAGAAAGCCACGTTTTGAGGGACGATGTGCAGAACATGGTCAGATCTGGAGCGATGGCCGGAGAATGGTCTAGGGGAGACGACAGTATTGCTGATCACAATTCTTGCATTCAAACCTGAAGGGTGGAATGTCCCAGCTCAAGTCAACCAGTTGCACAGATGGCATTTGTCACTTGTAAATGAGATTATAGATGACACATTTTAGATACATTTTATGTCCTATTTTCCTCCAAAGGAGTTAAGAAAATGGATATATAGGTGCTGTCCCACTTTAATTTCACAAAACTCCCAAGAGGTCAGTTGAGTCACGGTTCCTGGCCCCATGGACATGTGGCAGTGCCTGCGCATCTCTAAAGATAGCCAGAGCCGCTTGGAGTGTTTCCCCGCACAAAATAGAAATATAATTGCCAATGCTGAACATTGGAATAATGTCTTTCCTAATTGGCTTAATAACGCTGACCACTCAGGGACTGTTGTCAATGTGCCTTTCAAAGGCACACGCTTCAAACAATTACTTGTTCCGGCTTTAAATTTTTGAGAATATGTTCCTGAAGCTGCTTTTGAGCATTAACCAATTTCATATCTGTCTTATCTAATTGAAATCTCTGTAATGGAACATCTCAGGCCTTTCATCTTTCATTATTCCAGCAATATATCTCCTGGGTGGCAGGAGCCGCTGAGCACGAGCTTCATTGCAGGAAGAGTCTTTCAACAGCTTTTAGGAGGTTTTTAAAAGTACCTAACTTTTACTGTAAAGAACTGATCTGTCCTTTATAGAAGATAAGCCTTACATAATGAGCAAGATGCTCGGAGCATAAGGCTAAGAGCTGCTCTCCCACATAGGTGGAAGGGGAAAAATGTTCACCCCACTGGAGTGAGACCATGCTGAAATCTTCCATTGTTGGGAGTTGCACCAGCGGGTTGACGACTGTGAATGAGTGGCTGGGGACCAACTGGAAGAGCATTAATCTTTCTGGAAGCCTCTTAATGGTTTGCTAAATGGACAATCCCCCTTCAGGGACAGGAGCATAAGAGACACAGCCAGTTCAGGCATTTTTAATTGACTGAAGCAAAGATGGCTGAGGACTTCTTGCATTCTCAACTTCTCCAGGCGGGCCTCTCAGAGGTGTTGAACTTCAGTTCTTTGGCCATCCTGGGAGTTGGAGTCCAATATCAATATCAGTTCTGGGAAAAGTGAACAAGAATACAGGGTGTTTGTAAATGTTTTTTCCCCCAAACTGTATTTACCAATTACAAGAAAAAAATCACAGAACACCTAAATACACACACACAAGAAACCAAACGAAAACATTAGGAAAAAACAACCCCAAATGAACTGACCTACCTACCTAACAAGGGAAAAATGAGATGGGGGAGATATTTTGGTTTAAATACCAGAATAAACTGACCAGGCTTGGGGGTTATGTACAGCTGCACACCTGTCTTGGGCAGCAAAATACTTACTGTTGGCTTGCAGAGTTGCTGGGCTCTGCTGAAGAGTGTTGTGCTCAGTCGCTAGTGAGAGGCAGTGCTAATTCTGGACAATAAGAGAGGCGGCTGTCTTCATCCTAATAGATTTCTTACTGCCTTTCACTAACAGCATAATCAGTTCTAGGCACATCACATGAAAGGCATGTCACATCGCAGGTAAAACTGATTTTTGGATTATTCCAGAAAGACTTCATCTACAAATGCCATTAAAATCATCTTCTGCATTTAGACTTTGCATCTCCTCCTTTGGTGAGCAGAAAGCCAAAACCGCATCTAATATATGCTTGAAATATTTTTTGATTCCACCTTTTTCTTCTGTATCTGCAACCCTTTTGTAAGTATATATATCTGAATCATAAAAATATACCATGCAGAGAAAATTAGGAAAATCTCCCTAATAATTGCATGAGGTTGTAATGAAGGGGTGCAAAATGTTTCAAGATCGAAACTTTCCAGCATAATTTTCCAAGCGTGGTATCCTGCAGGCGGTCTGGCCTTGAAATATTCCAGGCTTGGAAAGGTGCTCCAAATGGCACATTTTAAGGCTGGGTGTCTACTCACAACAGGATTTCCAAAGTCAACAGGATTCAACTTTTAAATATTTTGCACAACTCTAAGTCACAGGATGAAGATAAACCACTCCCTCAATTATGGTGTATTTTTTTCCCTCTCCCAGAACTCTCTAGATTTCATTTCCATTTGGGGTAGCTCGTTAAGCATTTGATCCGAGGGAAATGTCTTTATTTGAATCAGCCAAACTAACAAGGAAGAGTACTGAATTGTTTAATTGCAACAAAAAAATACACAGAAAACTTACAACAAAAGCATCACAAAAATCATATTAGAAACTGGTAATATGCACTCATCCATCATAAAATCTCATTAATTGTTAAATTACATTGCCTACATGAAAAGAAAAAGAATAATTAACATGTTAAAATGAAATAAATCGTCTAAGTATACATATTCAATAACAAAATATCAAATCACATATAAACAGTTGTCTATGTCTAGGTAAGGTATGTGGTAATCTATGCGAAAGGGAAACATATTGTGTCATTCTTTGATGAGTAGAAAAAAAATAGCTTTTCCAAAAATTGATAAATTTGTTGAGTCCAGTCCTTGACATCTGGAGTGGTACTACTTTTCCAATATCTCAATATTCCAGTCTCTTAGATATTCTCTATACCTGATGTAACCAAAGTTCCTCACAAACAATTATATTCCACAATTTGGGGATATAATTCAACACAGTATTCACATCTTTAACATGACAACATATACCCATGAATCTACTTATATGTGTTATAATATTAGTCCAAAAATAAATAAATAAAGAACACAACCAAACTGTTTGGTTAACATACCCTCAAATCTCTTATGCACCGATGAAGAAAATCTAGAGACCGTCTTTTCTTTTTTTAAAATATAATTTTATTAGAGTTTACAAATACAGAGATAAAAGATTATTACAAAGTAAGGAAAATATAAAAAATAAAAAAGAGAAGTGTAAAGAGATAGAAAAAAGAGGAAGAAAAAGAGAAAAGAGAAAGACACATGAAAAGTGACTCCCCCTTCCCTCCACACAAGTATAAACAATTTCAGTAAATTAACGTCTCCTCTAGTATTTCATTAATAAAAAAAATCTTCTTCCCATATCTCATCCCTTATCAGTAATCAAATTGTAAAAACTCATCATTCAATCCTAATCAACAAAAGTCTATTAAGAGCTACCAGAAATAGTAACATATGTATTTTAACCTTAATCAAATAAATCCAT